CGGGCAGAGGGGCGGTACCTTAAAGGGCCAGGAACGGGGGGAGGGGGGGACGAGCGCGACGGGGAAACTGAGGCACGCAGGGATGCGGGGCAAAGGGGAGTTGTGCGGTGTCATAAACGTAAGTGGTGTCAGAGCCCCACGGAGCAGAGCTGTGGGCACTGCCTCGAGGCTACAGGTACCGAAATAATAAAAGCATAGAATCGTTTAGGTTGGAAAAGACCTTTAAGATCATCCAGACCACCATTAGCCTAACGCTACCAAGTCCACCACTAAACCAATTAAAGGTAGATTAATAGTTAATTTCATGTTTCCTTGCTTGGTGGTTATTATTTTGTAATGAAAGTAAAAGTAGAATAGAATCACTAAGGTTGGAAAGGACCTCCGACCATCAACCCAACACCACCATGCCCACTAAACCACGTCCCCGAGCGCCGCGTTTTTCAAACACCTCCAGGGACGGCGACTCCACCACCTCTCTGGGCAGCCTGTCCCAATGATCCCACCCTAAAGCCACGATCGAGCCAAGCGCAGGACGTTCCCCAGCAGCCTGCAGCGGTAACAGCTCGGCGGAAACTTCCTCACGGCCTCCGATGCGATGGAAACCGCTCCCCATGTACAGCCCCTTCCCGCACATCCCGGAACAGGCGGGAGAAGGTTTTGGCACTGCTCGGGCCTGGCCCCTGGCCTCGGAGCTGAAGCCACTTGGCTGGAGGCTTCTGTCCCAGTGCCACCATCGACTGACCCCCCCCAGGGCACAGGGACAGCGCTGGCCCCCAGGCTGGGGGGCTCTGAGGAATCAGAGATTATTTGTCTGTCTTCAACTCCTTGTTTAAGGCTTTACAGGAGAGGGGGGTGAAAAAGGCAAGTCCCTGTTTGATCTTCAGCTGCTGCCACCATAACGCTCCTCAACGTTGAAGTGCTTCTCTGCTGCAAACACAACTCTTGTAACCCGGCTGTCTCTTGTCTTTGATAATGCCACGCAGCTGAGAATTTTTTTTTATAACACCACTCAGGCCATTAACGCGCCAGGAAAAATGCTTGAAGCAACATATCTGCTTGAATCACCAAAGTTTTTGGGGGACGCGCAGTGCTTTTTAGACCTGAAGGATCTGTCGTGCTCTTATTTATAATGCAGCTTGATACACAAAGCTTTGTCAATGTTACTTCCCTCATCATTCTGTGGAACCTGTTTGGTTTTTTTTTAAACCTCTGCACGGAGTTTGCTCTGTTTTCAATAATATTCAAATACGCACATGAAACAACCACCTCCCCCGCCTGCACTCCCATGCGCCTTTGTAAAATGATGGCAAAGGGAAAAGCTGCTTTCTTATGCCCTCTTAAGTGCCATTATTCAGCAAATGGGAAACGATCAACAGCTCCTCCCCTCCCGCAAACAATCATTTGTGCAAAGAGATTACAAACACCAAATTACCAAAGGAGATGCAGGGGACGCACAGTGTCTCCCTTTTTCCCTGTGCAGCAGAGGTCAGGTTTGCAGTTCCTGCCCTGGCTTACTCACTTGTTAAAAGCAGTTTTGCTGCAAAATAACGGATCAGCAAAAGCCTTCCTTAGAAGTTTTCCTTTAACGCAAAGGATAAAATAAATCTTGTTATGGAGGTAGAAGCTCATTTCTGTGAGATCTACTCTACAAAACCCTCTAACCACACATTCGTTTGTGCTCTAGCACCTGCAGAGAATTCAGAGGATCTCCATCTTCCAGGAAAAAAACACTTGACAAACACAAAACGCTTAGATTCCAAAATTCAAGTTCTTCAGCTTTTAACTTTCAAACCCATAAGGCAACAGAAGCAAGTCAAAGAGACCTCAGTGCAAGGGAGCTGGCTCATGTTTCCCCCACCCCGTTTCACCTCTTGGCTAGAAAACTTACCCTTATACAGGTGGCTGATCTGCTGGGGTGTCCTGCCTGTCCCACAAAATCACATTGTTTTCTATCATCAGAGAGACTAAAACCAGACTACAATTAAATACGGAAAAATTCTCATTTAACATCCTTTAAGTCACAATCCAGAAGAACCTCCAACAAGGCCTTTATTTCAAGCCATTGAAAGTTCTGCATTTTCAATGACAATTATTAAAGGAGGAAATTCCCACTTATCAAAATGACCATCAAAAAGAAGTATGTCGGAGACCAAGACTTCTTGCATTACTTTCTAATAGGAAATATAAGCAAGCCATACAAATACTTTACACGCAGAGTCAGGTTTTTTGTTCTTTTTTTTGGCTAACATTCATTCGGTCAATTTACAAATAATCACTCTAAGCAGATAGTTTAAAAAAAAAATCATACATCATGAGTACAACCTCCATCTTATCCCTCAACTTTCTTATTAAAATGTAGAAATTATCCTTGGCACAATAAAAATATATATATATGTATGTATATATATATACACTGTCCATTTTGCCTCTGTATTCCAAATATTAACAAACATATTTTAAATGCATTGTTCTGGTTAGCATGAAATGACATTATAATTTATAAATAGTAACAGACAGATATCACTCTTCTCTGGAAGGGCTGATAAAAGTGTAAATCTACATCAAAAATAAAAATCAGTTGCTTTTAAGAACAAGGTATGTTAAAAAAACCCCTCAAAGTTATGCTGTTTCCATCAACACAGATGTCTTAAGATTTGTTTATTATAGAAGTTTAAAAGCAAATTGAAAGCCTTTTCCCAATTCCATAAATTCATTTTTTGTAAAAATTATTTAAAATTCATTAAAGTTCTGCAAACCAAGTTCATGCACAAAGGGTAAACAGTAGCTCTCGACTCCACAGAAAACAAAGCAGTGGAAACATACTATTTTTGAGACATTCAGAAAGCAACTTGGATGCTTAAAAAAAGACCTCTAAAACCAGAGTTAAATTAAGGTAACATAAGGTGGCACAAAAACTGTATTTACCTCAGTCAAATATGAAACAAGAAAATCAGACATGCATATCTTCACTTTTTCCATTACTAGATAGCCTGTGTACCTGCAGTTGTTGATCTGTGCCCAGTTTCAACCAGATCCATTTTGCAGTTAAATATGCAGAATAGGAATTGTTTTTAAGGCAGTCAATTAATCACTCTCTTCACTGGAGTCAAAAATGTCACTGAGTCGGAAAGCCGCCTTCTGTTGGCTCGCTGTTAAATTGTCAGAGCTAAGGTGTTTCTCCTTCCTTTTTGCTAAGTTTTCTTCAAATTCTGGAAGTTTCTTTTGAAAAAGGTAGTCAATAATTTCTTTGAAAAAAAGAAAAAAAAAGTAGTCTTAATTGGATCTGTAGGGGAACTGGATGCCTAGGGGAAACAGCATCTCACAGACAGAAATTATTTTGCCAGTCTTAAACGTAAAAAATTCCACTATTCCGTAGTAATCGAGGTGGCTGCAGGGTAGATCAGACACATACATACATGCAAAGATAAAGTAAAAAGGCACAGTTTTAAAACATCTAAAGCCAATTTATTAAAGAGAAGAGGTTAATAAGCACTGCATGAAGACGCCATTGAAAGGAAACTGTTATTAGGGGGGGAAAAAAAAGCATTTAGTAAAATAAGCACAAAGCCTGAGATCTTAGCCAATTTTCTTAGGGGAAAACTAATTAAGAAAGAATTGAACTAGAATACATATCTCCTTAGATTCAAGAAAAAACCTTAAGAAGTATATACAAACAGCTGGGATACTGACCAGAAAAAGTCTTTCTTTGCCAAAAAGGGACACAGGAGACTTTTAGCTTATAAAATTTTGCTTGAACATAGGCTCTAGGGACATCTCTGAAAAGAGAAGAGTTCAAAGAATTAGTGGTGCAAGGAACTATTACAAAGTTTAGCTGTTACTGAGTTATCCGTTCATGAGAGTGACGCCAGTCAAACAATATCTTAGCTTTAGGTAGAAAGGAGGGATTTCAAATCCTAATCAAAACAGTTTGTCAAGACAGCAGTTCCCCTTGAAGGTAAGAACCAAAACCATGCCATTATATGTATGTATTATATGTTTAGTGAAAAGAAATAGTAAATGAAACTGAAAGTATGGGGGCAGGGAGGAAGCTGTAGAGAAAGTATAGCATTCACAGTATTGGTAATTTCATGTTCAACACTTTGTTTGGGAGAAGACTGTATTATACATTCCCACAACGATGCCTTTTTCCTTTGTGTTTATTAACACCTGGAAAAGCCTTTTATCAAAGACTTCAGCACAGACTACATAACACAGTTTTAGTACACTGAATGCGCTGGGGATACAACAAGGGTTGCCTGAAGTGGTTAAAATTAAGTTTCAGAGCTCATAGGCACGGTTTATCGCTCAGTACTATGCAAGGATATACAACTAAATGACATTTTCTATAGTTGCAGAGGCATAAGAACTTTGATTCCTTTGTGGAATTTTTAAGACTGTCTGCTTCAACTATCCTTTGTATCCATAAAAAGAGGGGAAAAAACTTTACCCAATAGCATTACTGAGTTCTTCCCAGTTTACTTCATTAGCATCATCCACTTTCATTTCATACAATCTGTGAATATAATACAGAAGTAGTTTGTAGACAGAATTCAAGAAATAATTCAATAATGGTCACAGCATCCCCAGTCAGAAGTCACAGGACATTCTGTCCAAAGAAAAGAATGGTTGCAAAACCTGTATGAAACTGCAGGCATGCCATTCTCACCCTGAAAGCTTTTACAAACACAACTCAGAACACTAAGAGATACAAAAACATTCCAGTAACTCTGAACTATACCTTTTAATAAGATTGATCTTGGCCTGTAATCCTTTGGTCCCCCTATATAACTGCTGCCCTTTGGTCATCTTGTTTGTTAAAATTGTAGTCCTTTGAAAACACACAAAAAAAGGTTTCTATAATTTCAAGAAATTCCAAGTATCAAAAGGAAGTGTCTTTAAGATGCTACTGCTGCCACAGAGAAGCAGAAATCAGGCTTCACTACCACAACAAGAAAACTTACCACAGCTAGCAAAGAGTTATTTATTTGTCTCAGACATATTTGCAATACCTCTTCTGTAGTCTACAACCTACTTATTACCTAATCTTACCAATCAATCATCATGGTACAAACAGTTTTGCAGAATGGAGTTAAATACTCCCCAGAACACATTTTACTATCTCAATTTAGTATAAAAACTTACCATTTCTGTTTACACTGTCTCCAATATCGAGTTCCCACTTTGGCTTCTATCTCAGTCCATGGTAATTTCTGGCACAGTTTCTCACGGTCAATCAAGAGATCTCTATATGACTTTTCCGATGATGAAAGAGAATTTGCATCTTCCATTTCTGTTCTTTTCCTAATCACCTCCTCCACTGCATTCATTAACTTCTGAGTCTCTTCTTTTGACCAAGGACCATAATTAATAGCTAAAATTGAAAAAACTAGGTTAAGGCATAATTTATCATAACTAATTAGGAAAAAAAGACAAAAGAGCAAATGCTTTGCTTTGCGTTATTCTTATTTACAGGACCAGCTTCTTAACACACTTCCCAGAAACTCTTCTGCATGCCCAATTTGAGAGAGAAGTTCAGCCTAATCACTAAAGAATAGCACTTATCCTCAGTTTCTATCTTTTAAAACCCAGTTGCCAAATTCCTCCTGCACTCCCCCTGAAAGCATCTATTTAGATGCCAGTTCCATTTAATAAAGAGTTGCATTTGTTCCACTTCTTTTCCTTTTTCTATCAGACTCTTCTTATCCCTTCCATATGAAAATGCAACCAGTGGTCTGGGAAAAAGAACCACCACCACAAATTCATTTAAAAAAAATCCACTCTAGGGATTTTTTTCCTAAAGTTTAGGGCACATACAACATATATTTAAAATAACTTCTCAAATTGAAATACACAGAATGAATTGGTTTTCTAAAAATTACATACACGACTTGATTTCAGAGTATTTCATAGCAACTGAGAGGTTAGAACGGGACATCATCTCAGAAATCTTCTTCCAATCATTGCCATGAAGTGCATGATACTTCTTTAATTTTTCTTTTTCTTCGTTAGTATACCTAGTTGAGGAAATGGGCATAGCTTCAGTTGCAAATTCAAACCATTACGGTATCTTGACAGCTGTAATCCTTACAGGCATTTCAGTGTTACTCATTGCTATTTCAAGTCACATATTAGAACAGAGGACTTGATAAGGGCTAGTCAGAAAAATGAACCGTCAATTAAGTCACAGTGACTGGCACAAATGGGAGAAATGATCTTCATTTATATTAATTTTTAATGTACAAATAAACATCAGACTGGTATTAGCATTCCGAAACTCTTTCAAATTACTCGCTTACCTCCCTTTATAATTATTTGGGTCAAACATCTTCCTTGCTCTATAATATATCAGCCTCCAGGGTCGTGGTATGCCCTCAGCTAGAAGGTAAATGATTCATTTTTAAGAAACATTTCTCAGACTGGTAAGGCCACTTCAGAAAAGCCAAAACAAAACAAAACCAAAAAACACGCATTTTCATGACCGTGCTGCCAATGATAGATTCTCTCCGCTCAAGAGAACGTATTCTACAACACTTCAGTAACTGCACAGGAAATAGTCTGAACAGAATCTCCTGAGGAGTTTCAAAGATGTAATTGTTATGACCGCAGTAAGACTGTGAATGCCAACAGCTGGTAAATAATTGCGTACATGCGTGCATAGGTGTGGGTGAATATCGAAAACTGAACTTTTGAACTCTCAAGCACAAACCCATTACTCACTAGCTACAAATTTTATGGACCGGTTGTAAATTTTGATAACATCTAGATCAAACGTTACGTAAGTAACGTACTGAATAGTCCCATTAGAGAGACAAGAGACAGTCACCGATCAGGAGGCTGATAAGATATTGTGCTTCTGCATATACACTACACTAGTTCAAAGGGAAAAAACGGGGACTGAGGGTATCCAGCAAAAACCAAGTGAAGATCTTGGCTGAAGGAAAGATCCTTGAAGTGGGGGAAGATCCACAGAGACCACTACCTGGGAACACATAGGAGTCTTGGTCAGCAGTGCCCAGGTAACCGCAAGCAACTCGCATTAACGCTGACATGACTTTCTGCCCAATCTTCCCAGACCAGGAGCAATCTCCCAGATGGGAAGGGAAGTCAACACCAGGCAAATGCGATGATGCAGAGGGAATGACTGTGTACGTGCAATAATCAAGGAGGAACAAATCTGTAGCCTCAATGATCCTTAAATAAATGCTAGTATCCAAATCCATTACAGGTTGTCATTTACTCTGCCTTGCCTATGCTAACGATACAGAACAAACACAGAACAGAAAGCCGCTGAGAGAGCACACTGAGTAGATTCATCAGAGGTGTTACAAAATGAGCATGTTTGCCATATGAAGTGTGAATATTTTCTAGCCAAGAGAAAGCCTAACAAAATGAGGGAAGAGGAAGAGAAGAGATGCTCCTCCTGCAAACAGAATGTTAGCCATAAGAATTTTGTTTTCCTCACGTCTTGGAAAATTAACTGCTTTGGCTAATGACCTAATTTCTTTCAGTTTCTGCCATCACTCAGTCCTGAACCTGCCATCTATTTATGTGCTCTAAGAACAGCTGACAATTTCAGACAGGACTTAATTGCACCTCCCATTAATAAGTCACTATGCTTAATTATAGCCTAGTAAATAATGCACCTTAAGCCATAAAGCCCAAATACAAGCTTGAAAGTCTGTAAGTGCTGCTGGTCATGATGATGTTTTAATCTCTAAACAGGTCATACCGAGAAAAGATAGTAAGAACAGTCTACTGTACAGATTATCAACTACATGCTTTCAGCAGCATACTCCTTTTTGGCCAAATTTAGCAACATTAGTACTTTTCAATAAAAAATTGTTTTAGAAGATACACTGTAATATCACCAGCTTGTGGAACGTAACATTCAGCTATTTGAGAAGAAACTTAAATGCTTACAAAGTTTTTCACAAAAAAGATGTTCTGCTTTTAGGCGATTGATGGTTTCTTTATCTTCTGGATACCTCGAGGTAAACAGGAGTTTTTCAGCACTGTCTATTCCAGTAATCGATAAGAACTCTTCAACATTTTTCCGGATTTGATTATTTTCCTTCTGGGAGAATCTGCCAAACTTGACAGCAATACCTAAAATATATAGTAAGTTTTATTAAAAAAAAAAAAAATTATAGCAAACCTCAAGTACCATCTCTTGTGTGTTAACATTTCAGATTTCAGCAAACATACATATGAAAGATCAACAAATTTAAAAGGTGAAAAAAGAAAACTGAAAAAAAGAGACAAAACAAGAGCTGGGATCAAGTATACATGCATACGCTTTGGTCTGTAATTTGACAATGAGGAAGCAGATGCTACGAAGCAGAAAAGCAGAAAAACAGAAAATATGCCCATTAGAATGGGACTCCATGGATGCGACGGCCACAATACAAAACCAAACTATTTTCTCTCTGTTAAAACATTAGCACAGCTACCCAATCATTCCTCACTGCAACAATATTTTGAGAGCTCACCTTGTTTTTTAAACTGTTTAAACCTCATTAAGTCTCTTCCAGCCATCTTCCTGATTGAGCTGTCCGATATATTCCTCACATGAGGAATAAACTCTTCCAATTCTTGTTTTGCAGTATCCAAATCCACGACTGAAGAGATGGTAGAGTCCAGGCACTCTTCACCATCCAGACTAAGCTCATCAGAGGTTGCCATTTCAGTAAAGGAACTATTCTGGACCCCCTTTCTATTTGATGCCGAGGGCTCTAGTGTCCTGATGCAAAAAAAAAAAAAAAAAAAAAAAAAGGAGCAGAATAAAACACATCACTAGAGCTCCAAAAAAGAGCTTTTTTTTGTATCTCTACTAGTACAAGAATGAACATATTCATTCATTATATAACAAGGAATACTTCACACATCCACCCCTTGTATTTCCAGCCTTTTAACATAGGTGTAACAACTTATCAAATTTCTATACTTAGACTATTCAAAGAGCTTGCTGAAGTTTTGAAAATCTGCACATTTCCCACAAAACTCTCACACATGGACATACAGAAGAAATAGTGTCTCTTGCTACCACTGGCAACAGAGAACTTTTCCATCTCTCACTAGTGCTCTTACTGTGGGTTCTAGACACTGTAAAAGCACCAAGAGCTACTTACATGAGCATTTGTTTGCACAGAACATTAAATTATTTAGTTGACCTTACTAGTTGCTTGATAAAAATGCATATGTTCACTATAAATACCAAAATTAACACATTAAACCCCTTTCTTCCCCCCCCTTTTTTTTTTTAACTAAATATGAATCGCTTACACATAAACTATTTCTGTACCTACAGTTTTTAAATAGGAAAAAACACCCTATCTTGAAGGCAATTTAAATAGGAAAAAACATCCTACGTTGAAGGCAATGGTAGCGTATTCTTACAAATTTTCATTGTATCTTCACAAGATAACTGAGTAAAGTAGGTGTCTGTAACATCTCAACATACTGTAAAGGTTTTTGAAATTGCTTTTAAAAACGTATACAAAACAGACTGAAGAAAAATCTGGGACCCAAATAATGTACAAACCAGAGTCTATAACATAAGAGAATTAAAAAAAAAATTGGGGGGGGGGGGGGAGGAAAAATAAAAAAAAAAACCCACCACGAAACACCACAAACAAAACCTAAACTTACGTTGCATCAGATTCTGAAGAGCTTTCTTCCCTGACAAAAACGCTGCTTTTTTTTACTTTTCTAGCACACACTGGAGTTTTTCGAGGAGTTCGATCAGCTGCTTCAGTCGCCTTAGAAAAATTAGCAGGTACATTCACAGAATCTTCACTCATGGCAGAAGAAGCATCACAGTCACCATCTTCATGCCATCGCCGGGGCGTTGACGCACCACCCTCTTCTGTAGGTAACGGCAAGACTGCGTCTTCCCCTTGCCTGTTTTGCTCTGGAGATGACAACAGTGACTGGCCAACAGCTGCATCTGTGTCTTCCTGCAGATTTTGGGTACTACCGCCTTTTTTCTTCTTCCTCTTCTTTTCTGATCTTTTATCATCATTTTTATCGCATGTTTCTGAGGTAGGCAGCTCACATACCTCATCCTCTTCAGGCAATCTAGCTTTTCTTTTCTTCTTAACAGATTTTTTTAAGTAAATGTAATCAGCATCACCATCCTGACAACTATCAGTGCCACGCTGATTTACTGTGACACAAGTTATATCACTTTGCTCACCTGCACTATCACTATACTTCCGCTTTTTCTTCTTCTTTTTCTTTTGGGAAGTATCCACTCCAGTTTCATTACTAACTTCATGTTCCAGTCCTACACAAGAATTATCTAACGAAGACTGTTGCTTCTCCCCCTTGTTTTTGGGTTTTTTCTTCTTTTTACAGCCTTCACCACTCTGTGCTGCTCGATCTTCAAACATCAGTGGAGAAGCACGGCTAAGCTCTGCATTTTGTATACTTTCTCTTTCATTATTTTCACGTTCCTTATTGTATTCTTTGTGTTTTCTCCTCTTTTTCTTCTTGAGAAAATCCTGAACTTGAAAACCATCTGCTCTTGCTTTTTCGGTCATATTTTTTCTTACCTTAAATAAAAAAAATACAACTTTTACTCAAGTGCTATAATCTATGTACCATTACACAGTAAGAAAAGTTTAAAAATTTTTAAAACACGCACATAAAAATACTATGGAATGACTCAATATTTTCTTAGAAACATATAATAAAGATACTTACTTTTCAATCCAGCTAATTTTGGAATATGACTATGAAAAAGTGACGCCTTCTTCATCAAACAGATGTGCATCACAGCTATATTCAGCCTCACAACTGCCTTCCTATAACAAAGATACACTTTAATAACTATTAGCTTTAAATTGATTTTGAATAATGAAGTAATGACAGACTCTTGTATTCAACTCTGCTTTCAGCACTGAAACAGCAACAAGTTAAAAGTAATGGAAAAATATGAAACTAATCAGCACTAAAACCAAGTTCTCTAATTGGAAGCTTCTGACTGGCTTTGCCCACGTTCAAACAGGCCCAAGCCAAGCCCAGCTCCAACGGACTCTGTAACCAAAACAAATCTATTCCTGAAAAACGCAGAGTTACACAGAGCAGGCAGGAAATATTTTTTAGCACATTTTCTACGGCCAGCACATAAAAAAAACCACTTACAAAGCAACACCCCACCATCTCTAAAACGCAAGACCTTGAATTTCACATCCCCAACAACGCTTCCAGCGCCGACCGGTACCAGA